CGTCGAGCGACGCACCACCCTGGCGTCGATCGACGCGACATCCACAGAAACGAGCCTATCCTCTCGTGGCTCGAATCCATCGCGATTTATCAAGTCACCTGCACGATCCCAGTCACAGAACACACGAAAACACAATCAAACGCATTCCATCTATCCCTATGCCCACACAACCCACGATCACGCACTCACCTCGAAGAATCGAAATGAAAAGAATGAACCGACGTTCACTAAAACCCTCGTACACGATGAACCACTGGTCCAATTCCGAAACAGCCAACTGTTCTGGAAACTAGACACACACAGCTAGGCGTCGGTATGCGGACCGCCTCCAGACTCCCTCTGGTTCGATCGGAAATCCCTTCCGAACCCGACTGATCGCAGATAACAATCTGCACTGACCCATCAAGTTCAAACGGCCATAACTAGGTGAACAATCAACCAAAAGACGAACCGTTTTCGCCTATAACACGAGCAGAGATTGGAGAACTTACCCCCCAAAAATCACTCCAATCYRCYTYGAAWAGCCCNGCCGTTWGCCCTYTCAAAGTTCCGATTCGAAACTGTCCCTCTCACACAATCACCTAGATTCCTCTCTCAAACCTTTTCTCTCCGATTATTTTCCCAAAAGCGGCCAAACAGACCAACACACAGCTTCCCCATCTGTTTTTATACTAACCCTAGGGTTACCTTAACCAACACGCAAACCGTGCGATCAAACCCGACTTCCCGGTCTGATTAAAGATTTGCGTCGCTCGACGCACCTCTCTTGCGTCGATCGACGCAACACCCAGAAACCGACTCCTCGCGAGTCCAACTTCGTGTGTCGATCGACGCACTCCCCCTGCGTCGATCGACGCACCACCAAAAAATCACATTTTTGGTTCACGGGCGTTACATCTGCAATGATAATGGTAGATATCAAGCATTAGATTAGCAATCGATGAGAATCAACAGATTGTGGCTAACAAAACTAGGGCCCTTAACCGATAAGCACAACTCTTAAGCATGGGCCACAAATATATGTCATCCCACTTTCGTGATGCTACTAACCACTATGTCGAGTACAAACATCTAATGAGCTTTTGCTACTAGATATAAGTACTCTCCAAACTTAAAGCTCAGGCTCCAATAAGCTCACTTAGCTCCTCTACTCACTTTCGCGGTCAAAGGATCACTAAGCCGAGCAAAAGGTTGGTCCCACATTCCATCAAACACCTTTCGGGCAGAGGAATGCCTCAAGACGAGATTGAAGGCCGGAGCCGAGAACCAAGCTTTATCCACAACCTAAGCTCGAGAAACTCAATACATAGACCGAGATTAAGTTAGTCGTTTCTCTAAAGCTTCCACATCAGCTAACCCGACGCTCGACAAGCTAACTACTCACTCATGGCTACGAGAAAAGCCATGATTGAGCTTGAGTGAGGTGCGAGTGATGCAATGCAAAGATAAGTGCGATTAACAAATAAAGATTGAAACTTTAAGCTAAAGACTGAAACTTTATAACAAAAATAACTTAGAACATCAAAGATCCGATGCTCTAAGGATCGATTACAACTAAAACGTAAATGGAAAGCTTAAGAACGTAAAAAGRAAAGAAGAACAAARSARRMYTWRGKTTTTTCAGGGGTTAAGAACATATTTATACCCCTTATAACAGTACCCGGGTCGACCCAAGGCATAAATGGATCATCTAGTTCGAGTCAACGGTCGACCTGGAAAAGTCAACAAAATACATTAAATATCGGTCACTCCATATCAGGTTAGTGACCGATTTACGTTGCGCGTCCAGCAGCTCTCGTGTCCGACACCAACCCCTCGATGGGCACAGTATATCAGTCTTCCTCATCAGTGGGTACCGATATCAGGGGATATCAGTTTCTTCTACTTATTCTTAGCCGGTTTGATGCGCCTGGTCCAACGGCTGGAGAGTGTTGATGCTCCATCATAACAAGAGGATAACCTGGGACATTTGTGCGCAAATTTGAGGGCACTGTAGTCCTGATTCTCACCCAAGTGTATGAACTTCAATAGATTGGCTGAGACTCCATCCTTCCACTACTCTAGGTGCTTCTCACCGGTGATTCCTGATGATTCAAGACTGGTCCTGTAACCTCTGCTCCCTGTTTTGCTCCAGAAACTTGCAATCCTT